CGACTCGTCCTCCTGCGTCTCCCGGGACCACCGCCCGGCTCCAGCCGTGCCCAGGGCTAGCTCCTGGGCCGGAGGCCATCTCCGTCCGATCCAGAGAAGTGGTGGGGCCCTGCCCATAGGAAAAGCCCAGAGCCGGCCTCCCACCACACCTGCACCCCAGGCCGCCCGCCCTCGGCATTAACAGGAGTCAGAACTGGAGGCCCCGCCCCCGCCGGAGGGTCCCCTCACTGCCCACTGGAGGGGCTGGACCTCGCCAGCCGAGAGCAGAGAACACACCCCAGCCAGTGCCCCACCCGGAATTCCTACAGCCGAGAAGTACCCCCGCCCCGTCCCGTCCCAGCTGCCTCTGGGTCCCAGGGGGCAGATGAGCTGTGGCAGCAGGTCCCTTATACAGGGGCGCACTTACAAACGGGCCCCTCGTGCACTTTTCCAGCCCAAGGCAACCACCCTCTGTCCTCTTGGTGGCTGGTTTCATCATTTCCATTTTTGGAGAGATCTCAGGGCCCAGATAGGTCCTAGCAGCAAGCGTTGAGGAGAGGGGCGGTAAGGCCCTGTCCGCTGGGTCTGGGATGGCCTGGCCACGCCCCTCTGTTGCACTGCAGAAGTGAACAGTCTTGAACCAAAACCAGTTTTTAACCTTGATTTTAGAAAAAAGCTTTAGTCAAACATTTTCAAACAGAAGGGCTCTTACAGATGAAGCACTGTGGCTGGGAACAGCACCCCCACCCCTGGCTGCCTTCTGAGTGGGGTCATTGGGATCCAACTACCTGCAGATGTCCTGATCCTATAGCTGCACCTTCCCCAGGGGTCCCTGCGAGAACCCGGTGGTGAAGTTCCAGAGGTGCTGGAATGTCACATCTGTGTTCAAAGACATTGGTCCTGGAGGAGGTGGTGGGGGGGGTGGCACTGGCTGTGTGACAGCAGAACAGTGGTGGAGGACTCCCCAGTCCTGGCTCAGCCACCCTGTGCTAGGAGGGCACCTCTGGAATCTGCAGACAGGAAGCAGGCCTTGCCCAGAGGCTCAGGCTGCAAGGTCCTCACATCTGAGTTCCTTATTCTGGAAAGGAACAGGAAGCATACAAGGGCTGGCGAGCAGGTGACTTTTCATGACTGCTTCTGCCACATCCTCTGTGGATGTGAAAAGTCCCCTATCCTGCTCCTTTGTGATGGTCTCTATCATAGCACTTGTCCTGCCCTCACTGGAATAAAGGCATTCTCCATCTCTTCAAAATAGTGGCTGGGGGTGTCCTACAAACTCCCTGCACCCAGGGGGGCCTCTCCACCCCTTCTCAGGAAGCAGCTATAAGTCCACTGCCCTCTTACCTGCTTCACTCCCATTCTGTGGTCATAAACTGGCCCAGGTCAGTGGGGGAGGCGCCTTTGGGTTCCCAGTGCCCAGCACTTTGTAGCCCCTCCCCAAGTGACTACCCCTTCCTGATACCCAAGCCCCGAGTGGGGCAGGGACAGGAAATAAATTGATCTCCAACCCCACCCCTGACGAGCAATGCTGGCAGCCAGGTGGAATCTGTCAGGCCCACAGTGGGTATAGACAACCAGGCTGGCAGAGATGGGTCCTTATTTGCAAGGCTGGTTTAAAGTTGTGCTGGGAGAACACACTGACTAGAAAGCACAAGGAGGGGAAGGGGTTGAGCCAACGTTACTGTAAGCACGTGGGCAGCGGGTGCAGATCCTTTGTGACATATTGTCACGCTGAGGCCTTGGTGTCTGCTGTGCTCACGTCTTGTGTAAAACTGTCCCAGAACTGGCCGGGAGGGTGGGGGGAGAGAAACTGCTTTGCACTATTGTTTGCTTGGTGTGTTTGTTTTTCATGCACAACTTGCTTGTACAGTAAACTGTCCGTCTTCTGTACTATTTAACTGTAAAATGGAATTTTGATTTGTTACAATAATATAACAGATATGTTGAAGGATCCGGTGCCAGGCTTCTAGGGCTGTGGGCATTGGCATGGGGGTGGGGTGGGCAGGGGCCTCCTGTCCTTGGCCAGGAGGAAGCAGGGCAAGGCTGCTGCTCAGGGGAGCCTGGGGCCCATGCCTCGTTCCCATCCAGCTCGCTCAGGAACGGTGGCAGAGACCCCCTGCGGCCCAAGGACAGCGCCAGTCCTTCCAGTGTGGCCAGGACCATGAAGAACCACAGGCAAGCCTTCCAGGTGCCACCACTCCTCCCCTCTCAGTGGCATGTGTTCACCTCATAGAAGACACTGCACATGGTCCCAGATTGTTCCCCAGATGCAGACTTAGGGAGAGGGCACCTGGGGAGAGCCCCCTCTGGGATTTGTGGCTAGTGCACAGCAATGATATGGCAGAGTAGGCAGCTCTTGGGCACCCCAATTTTGTAGAAGAGGGGCCTGAAGTTTTCTGAGGGAGTGCTTAGGGTTTCACGTCTGATTGGGGCCGCAGGGCTAATGTGAAGGGACTTGGACTGTGGGGCCACAGGGCTAATGTGAGAAACCCCTACTGGCCCTGCCAGCAAGGAAGCCCAGCCTCTCCCACCCCAGGACCCAACAGCAGCCCTGTGCCAGCCATTTGGGATGTGCAGAAGGGAAACTCTCATAAACAGACCTTTGAATGATGCC